AACATTGGAAGTAGAATACTATTGTTAGATAGATTTTCAAAGATAATAAGAAAACATTGGAAGTAGAATACAATTGTTAATTAGATAGATTTTCAAAGTATGATATCTTAATAAGAAAAGACTGAAAGTGCAATGCTTTAATAGCTCGATCCGAAAGCATAATGCAATAATACAAAAATAAATGAAACTCTTTTGCTATCTCTTATTCTCTTACATCTAATTAGCCCTTTCAAGATAACCATGTAATATTAATATTCATATTTATTAGATACAAAAGAACCCAAGTCTTGATGCCACGTTATCCGATATATGCATTGGAACATCAGCTGCCCCAACTTATCTTCCTTCACATTCATTCCAAACAAAAAATTCTGAAGGAAAATTTCTTAAAGAATTCAATCTTATCGATGGTGCAATAACAGCCAACAATCCGGTATATATGTCTTATTCACTAATAATTAATTACTCATCTATATATGTGGTTTAAGTTTTAGGCTAATATGTTTCTTTTTTGCAGACTTTGGTTGCCATAAGCGAAGTAACAAATGAAATAACTAGTGGTAGTGCAAACTTTTTCCCAATAAAGCCAACAGAATACGGACGATTTCTAGTATTGTCATTGGGAACAGGGTCACCACAATTTCAAGAAAAGTACGATGCAACAAAGTCATCTAGTTGGGGAATTTTGGGGTGGTTAGCCGGTGGTGGCTCAACTCCATTGGTGGATGTATTTACTCAAGCGAGTGGCGATATGGTTGATTATCATATCTCCACTGTCTTCAAAGCCCTTCATTCACAAGAAAATTATCTTCGTATTCAGGTAACTTTTCCATTCCATTTTATACTAAAAAGATTTCAAGATTTCATATTATAACATATTGAATTAAATGATATCAGGATGACACTTTAAGTGGGGACTTAACTTCCATGGATTTGGCAACACATGAGAACTTAGAGAATCTTGTGAAAGTGGGACAAGAGTTGTTGAAAAAACAAGTGACGAAAGTGAACTTTGGCACGGGCATATCTGAGCCTTACCATCATACCACCAATGAGATGGCTTTAATAAAGTATATTCACGTTTCTCATAAAATTATATTTAGTGTATATTTTAAAACATATATACAAAAAAATTTATATTTATTTTATTGATTTGAATATTTTTATTATGCATATAGGTTTGCGAAAATACTCCACCAGGAGAAGAATGTAAGAGAACTTAGATCACCAAGTACTAATAGAGGAAGAATTACACGAGAAGAGTCGATGAAAGAACAAACTACACTTTCACAAAGAACGCCAGCACTCTCAAATGCAATTCATCACTCTCTTCCAGATTTATATAAGCTCAACCCAAACTAAGATTTTCTTTCTTGTATATGGATAATTTATTAGCTTTATTCTAATTTAATTTTGAAGTTATGTTGTTTGGTTGAAAACTTAATTAATCGACGTAAGTGTATTGTTTCTTCATACTCTCTGTTAACCAAGTATAGATAATAAATTAAGGCAATTTCTTTATACACACCAATCTATCCTACTCCTTCCATAATCACTTTTCTGGTAGTTTGAATTTTATCTTATGTTTTTTTTTGGCAGCTTTTTCTTATTTTAAGGATTTGTATCCGCAAGTATTACATATAAACTATTCAATTCAGATTTATTCATCTTTTTACTGTATATTGCCAATATTTATGTTTTGAAGACTATATTTTATTTCTAAAAACATTAAATTATCAGAATATGAACAAACTACAAGATATACTTATATTGAACACTAAACATCATTAATCCATTTAAACTTCCAATAAACCACATCTTTAAATATTATTAAAGGAGAAACCTTATGACATCATCTTAAATAATCTGGACCCTTGATTGTATTTCAATCTTATTTTTTCCACCATTAGATCAATTTGTTGACATCATCTTCCCCATATGGAATGCATTTAATTCCAATAAATGTTTTGCAATCGTCAAACAATAACTTACATTCGTTGAAATAGAATGTATTTAATTCCAATAAAAGTTTTCCATATTTTAAATCTTGAATTTCCGATTATAAAGATTTTAATATGGTCAATTTTAAAAGCATATAACTAACAAATCATTTCAATCAAGGCATTAATATCAACCATTAATATAAATTCGTTTATATTAGTAAACCATTAATATAAAATATGTTTTTATTAGGAAATCATTAATACCAAAAAATCATATTCAAATTATCACATACATATACGATTCATCCTTAAATCTGCGGCTCACACTTATTTTCAATCGTTTCTTTTCTTCAAACATTCTCCTACAACATTATTCTTATTGCTTATAACTTTCATCATCATTCTCTGCTTCAAACATTCGTTCTTGTGCACTAGAAGGTCAGTACCTTCTTTTGCTTTTTATATTTTTTTCGATTATTTTTTGTTCCCATATCAAATATATGTATTCATATATTTCGATTTTCTTTGTCACAAATTACATGAAATCAGTTAACTATTTTTCTGAAACTTTTCAAATAAATAGGAAAAGATATTACGTACCTTTAACAAAACAGAATTTAACTATCTTGGGAACTGACATTATTTACGAAAATGTTACTTTTATATATTAGAGATGATTATGATTTTTTTTTTATTTTTATGTCATAAGAATCCGGTTAATTTTGGCATGATTTTAAAATATCATTGAAATTATTATGTTTTTGTATATCAAACCAACCTACTTTTTTATCTTTATATAGTAACAATAAAATTTATAAATTTACACAACAAATATACATATTTCGAATTTTGTAATATTATTATACCTTACAAAATACAGCTCCTTCCAAAATAATTTTCGTCAGTAATTTCATCCATAATTTCACCAAATTTAAATTTGTATTTTCTTTATATAAAATTTTTTAATGATCCTGATTTTTTCCTCCAAAAGTATATCAAGCATTTACGTCTTAGATAATACTGCCTCATTATAATTATTATTTTCCAAAAATATATACGTTTAATGAGGAATTTGATTTTATGAAGGAAGTAAAATGTTAATTAAAACGAGATATATATTTCATAATTATTACACGGGTTTATTAAAAAAATTAATATCAAGGTGTAAACATTAAGCATTTTTAAAGTGAAATTTCAGAATACATACAAACGATGATGTTGTACAATGAAATATAAAATTGAATAGACTGAAAAAAAAAAACTATTAAGACAGTCAATCTTGAAAATAAAATAGTTATGAAAATTTATAAAATAAGATAAATATTATAAGATATTAAGATATTTGTAAAAAGTACAATTAGTAAAAGCGTTACGGTTATTAGAAAAAAAATAAGACCGTTAAGATTAGTAAAAATACAATATATAAACTAAATTATCACAATAGTAATGAAATGTCATTATTTGATATTTCATATAATTGAAAGATATTGGTGGGATGTCAAGTCCACCAAGCAAATTACACCCTTTGTTTGCAAATAAAACGTAATGGCAAGCCAAATGACCAAGCTTCAAAATCGCCTTCTTCTGGTCTCCAATTGTGTAAAATCGAAGTGATAGCTGATAGATCTAATCCCCCAAGGTAATGGCAAGCCAAATGACCAAAATGCCCAAAACTGGGCAGTTGCGCAGGTACCCGCGCGACGGAAATTTTACCCGCGCAAGTGCTGCTGGAATGCTATTGGCTCATTTTTCCTCCACTAACCATCCCATTACCAAATATTCTCTTGGTCCCCTCCATATCCCACATGATTCAAACTAGCCAATCATCTTTTAGCTTCAAAAATGGATGCTCCAAGCCCAAAATAACAATCCATGATCCATCTTCACAAGCCCACTTCATCCAAGTCTTTAGCCTTTTTAAACTCAAATCTCCTTTAATGGATCCGCAAAGCCCAATAATGCCTAGAAATCCCACAAAGCCCAAATCCATTCAAACCGCAACCGCAATGAGCTCCAAAACCCTACAAAATTTCTCATGCAAAATAGAAAGTACCCGACACGTTCCATGATAAAGAAAATAAAGAATATACAATGCAATATTAATAAAAAGAGCTAAAAATCTAAAATAAACTAATAAAAATAAGGAAATAAAATAAGCTATCAGATATACCAAATTACATGGATGATATACTAAAATTATTCAAAGTTGCGCCAAAACTAATGTAAAGTTCTTGCGAACACCAAATAAATAAGAACAAACATAAAAGCTAGCACTTATATTCATAATCAATTTAAAATAAACCAATCATGATTTAGAAAAGAATCTCCATTGATGATATACTAAAATTAAATCCATATAACATTTAACATTCTATAAATTAGACTATATGACTTTATTTGAATAAATGAAATAGTTGTCTATATTTAATGCCGTGAAAAAACGGTATATTGGTTGTCAATATATGTTTAAATTAGGTAACCTTATTATGGAAGAAAAGTCTAATTAAAATGATTATAATTATACAACAATCTACTCTAATAAATGAAGGTTTTTTGTCACATGTCCTCTTCTCCTTCATTTGGACACATGGCATTTTCTAAAAATTTTAAATTTTCTATTTTCCACTTGTCATTTTATTGTATTTTTTATTTTATTAAATTAAAATTCCACATTTAATATATAAGGTAATATATATGTAAGGTATTTATTAGAAAGGGTTTATATATGTAATGTATTCAATACATTAAAGTCTCATTAATTTTAATAATTCAAAAAAATTCTCATTTTTCTTATAAATTCAAACTTTTCAAATTGTTAAAATTTTATATTTAATTTTTTTTAAATAAACTCATGTAATACATGGGTCTCACACTTAGTATCATAACTATATGAGACGAGGAAGGTCGTTCAACGAATAAAAGAAAAAAATGTTGTCTACAAAGAAGTCTTTCAATGATTATAGATATTTATTGTTTTCAATGTATTTTCTACACATTTCAATAATACCAATAACCATATATTTTTTTTATAATCATTATGCAATATATGTTGACAATTATATGTTTTTTTATGTGTTCCCCGCGTTTAACGCGTGCTATAATCTAGTTTTATATAAACAGAAAATAAACCATTTAAATAGTATATTAACAAAAAAAAAATTGTTCGTCATCGGAACCAGCTTCAACCAAAGTACTGCCGCCGGCAACAACTAACCGGCGGTAACCAAATAACGCCGGAGACAAAACGAGAGAAAGAGAGATCGTGAGAAAGACCACCAAAACCACCATTTACCATTGCCAACCACCGTTTAACATCTTCTGAATACCTTAAACCATTGTGAACCACCTAGACCAGATCGAGAAAAGCGAGACAATCATCATTTACGCCAGAGGCAGAACAATAGATCGTCGGAAAGACAGAACGAGAGAAATAGCACTGTGAGAAAGTCCGTCGTCGAAGCATCGGACCAGCGACTATGAACGTTGCATCGTGAGAAAGAACGCCATCGAAACCTCAGCCAGAAATCGCGTCGTCGTCGGAAATCGCGTCGTCGCTGGAAATAGCTTCATCGCCGGAAATCGCATCCAACATCTCTCACTCTCACTCTTGGCGGCTGAAATTTGTTTGCTAGGGTTTAAACAAAGTAATCCTTTTATATCTTATAATTTTATATTAACAGCCTAAAATTTGAAGATATTTCATTTTAAACCTTTTATACTTTCTGCATTCCTTTATTTATTTTCATAAATTATTTTTTAATTACATACTAAAAACCATCTTAGATAAGTTACTCGTAAATATATGTTCTAAAAATGATATATTTGTTGCATTTAGTTTTTAAAGTAGAAAATACGATGCAAATTAATTTGTCAATATGGGTTTTATGGTTAAAAAAACCATCGTGGACCACCTTGCCGATCATATAAAAATGTTTTATTAAATAAACTAAATAGTTTGTATACAAATAATATATGCAGTGATCCGGCGAGGCGGCACCTTGGTGGTTGCTCCGGCGACATATCTAATAAACAATTAAAATGGCGTATATGGTAGCATAATTAGTTTATATGTCAAGCATTTTTTCAAATATGTCTATTAATTTACTTGTTATTTGCATTACATATTTACATCCAAATTAGTTTAAAAGGAATTAGTTTAATGGACTATTCAATTTTGTGGGACATATTTGATTTAAAAAGAAAAATGTACTTAGAAACAACCTTGGTTTTTAATTAATTTTTTTTAATTAGTTTTTATTAATCTTTTTGTTTTATTTCAATTTTGCAGGAAAAAATGGCTAATCTTTTAGATTTTTCTACCGATGAAGTATAATTTCTAATCTTATATTTATATATATATATATATATATATATATATATTTATTTGATATATTTATCGATTTTTTAACATTAAATTTTTCTCTTAATTTTTAGGTTTTTAGATCTCTTGAAGATTTGAAGAATTGGGTACAAAATGTGGTGTGTTCTCAAGGTTTTGTTACAGTCACTAAACAATCGAAGGCGACAACTTTTGGATTCAC